CAGCTCTGGTCATCTTTGCCTTAGTCCATGAACCAGCAGGCAAAAGCCAGTTTTCTGAAGATTCTCCAGACTCAGCAGCTTCAGGACTCCAGGATACCACGGAACCCAATGGTCTGTGAAGTCACACCAGGAAGTGAGGTGGGGCCTGCTCAACTGTGGGAAGGGGAAGGGCCTCTGTGTGTGGACAGCAATGGGGGCCATCCTGGTGGCCCCGAAGTGATTTTCTACTCACTTCCCTTGGCTCCCTACTGTCTTCTTCCATCCTGCATATCCTGAAGGCAACAAGATATTAACCAGAACTCTGAAGTCACAAGTGACAAAAGCTCTACTAAATTGGCTGAAGCAAATTAGAAGTAGCTAGAATAGCCAGAAAAATCCTATCAAGACATCACAGCCAGGCGTGGAGGCTCACACTTGTAATCCCAGCACTTTGGGAGGCTGAGAATACAGGAGGATAACCTGAGGTCAGGAGTTCCAGACCAGCCTGGCCAACATGGTGAAACCCCATCTCACTAACAAAGTGTTGCTATTTCTTATATTAGGTAAAATTATAACACCAAAAATAGCATCAACCAACTGATATGCCCATGTTGTTACTCATGTATTATCACTATTTCCCCTTATTACATTTTATAAGTATTAAATTGTTTTCAAAGGAAAAATCTTTCTATTTTAGTACCTTGTATTGCACTTTTTTCTAGCTTGTTCTCCATGTTCATTTTGTACTGGGTCCCACAAATTATGTAGCCTGCCCTGCCCTTAAGCCTTCATGTACTCACAGTGTGTGTTCCATGGCTGAGATGGCAGAGATCTTTTAGGGGAAAAACTTGCACAAAGAGTTATATAGGGCCGGGCACAGTGGCTCATGGCTGTATTCCCAGCCAGCACTTTGGGAGGTGGAGGTGGGTGGATTACTTGAGGTCAGGAGTTCAAGACCAGCCTGACTAACATAGTGAAACCTGGTCTGTACTAAAAATACAAGAATTAGCTGGGTGTGGTGGCAGGTGCCTGTAACCCCAACTGCTTAGGAGGCTGAGGCAGGAGAATCGCTTGAACCCAGGGGGTGGAGGTTGCAGTAAGCCAAGATGGCACCACTGCACTCCAGCCTGGGTGACAGAGCAAGACTTCATCTCAAAAAAAAAAAAAAAGAGTTATATAGTAAAATTCTAGATAGCTCAGGTGTCTTCGTTTGCTAGGACTGGTATAAAAAAGTCCCACAAAATGGGTGTTAAACAACAGAAATGCACCTTGAACAAGGTGGGGGATAGGATCATCAACCCCCCATGTGTAATTTTTGACTCTCTAAAAACTAAATTACTAGTAAACTACTATTGATCAGAAGCCTTACTAATAACATAAACAGTCGATCAAACATATGTTGTACGTTTTCGGTATTATATCCTGTATTCTTACAATAAAGTAAGCTAGAGAAAAGAAAAGATTATTAAGAAAATCCTAAAGAGCTGGATGTGGTGGTGGCTCACACCTGTAAACCTGAAGGAGGAAAGGCAAAAAACAAACCTCTTCAACACTGAACTGAGAAAGGAAGTGGCTTTTTATTTGGCTGGGAGCTGCAGGGAGCTACAGCCTCATTCACCCGGCTGCCCAAGAAGCAGCCTCTTTCCCGTTTTACAGGCTTACAACGCTAAAGGAGAAACTGAGGTAAAACTATGTCATTGTTCATTGGTGGACATCTGACCTTACAATGTTTTGGCTTCATTGAATTGCTAGTTCATATGCAGTATGAGTGGGAACAGACATGAAAGGGAGTGGGATCATTGCCCACTTTGAGAATCTCACTTACCATTTTTTAAGTGAGAATTCACACTTACCCTTAGCTTCACTGTCGGGGTTTTCTGGTGAGACAGATTGCTAGTGGTTCATGTAATAGGCCTGCGCTGACATTTTTTTCTTGAACTGCAGCAGTAATAAATCCTTTTATTACCTGAAGGAGCAAGGGCATTAAGCAGGGGAGCAATATGCATGCTCCTATCATCAGGAACACACTTACAATAATGGTCTTGAGTCCTCCTATAGCAGGAAACCAATTCCCAAACCTTGATCCAGGGTCAAACCCATGCCAGATCTGTACAGGTACATGTGCCAGTTTTGTCATGTCCCTTACAATAGTTTCAACCACCTGAGCCTGGTCATCTATTTGCAGGTTAAATTGAATTTCCCACATACCCCTCCTTCAGCTGCCAGTAGGTAATCTAAAGCCAGTCTGTTCTGGTAGATGACATTTCTCATCTTGGTCTCCTGCCATGCCAGGGCAGTTATCGCCTGGGCAATTTTGTTGGTCAGGATTTCCAGAACAGCTTGCAATCGAATGATTCAATGAAGCATGTAGATTGGAGTACAATAGCCCCACGAGCCATCCTCCGTCCATAGAGCTGGCCCATAGCATTGTATTATTTTCTCAGGGGGGCATTTGTCATCTTTTCAGTCCCCTATAACTATGCTTCGCTTGTCTCATGAAGAGTAGACAGGAAAACCTAACAATTCCCCAGTTCTTATGGGTAATAGAAAGAAAGAGGGCTTGATGGTGCCAAGGATACAACTGCCCATCCACTGGTCTGGCAGTTTGGTGTAGGCCCTGTACCCACATATCCAGTACAAGCCAGGAGGGTTACCCAGTCCCGGTAGAGTTCCAGGTGGGTCCAGGTACACCAGTAAGGTGGGAAACTTTTGGAAAGGGCTGGTCTTGGTCCTATCTAAACTCCACCACGTGATTGTTTTCCTGCTTTCATTATATACCTTCTGTCCCAAACAGTCCAGCTTTCCCACTGGGACTATCATACCCCTTCCTATTCTGGCCAGACAATATTGTCCAATGATGGAGGTTTTTAAGATCTAGAAGCGGTTACTCAGGCCCTTTTGCACATAGGTCACATTAGGAACAGGGTCAGCAGGCACAAGCTCATGTGCTTCCCATGACCACTGGTCCCCCACAGTAGTTCCTTCACACACACACACACACACACACGAAGAATGCACTTTTAAAGTCGTGGCCACATTCTCAGCTAACTGAAAGAACAAGTTTCTTTATTTCTGGGGAAGTTCTGGAACTGGTTCATTCAATATATCATTAAAAGTTTGAAACATCAGGTGGGGTGATTATTTCTGGATATTTCCCTGAATTAGAATGTTAACCATGGAGTCCAGTCCTTTTTCATTAATTTCCATTATTATATATTTTCCTTTCCTCCAATGAGGATTTAGAGGATTGGTGATTGTTAATTCTAATGGATTAGAATAGCCAGAGGTACAGGAGAAGCTACTCTTCCCCTTTTGGAGATGGACTGGGTTATTTTTTTTCTTTTTAAGATGGAGTTTCACCATGATGGCCAGGCTGGTCTTGAACTCCTGACCTCAGGTGATCCACCCACCTCAGCCTTCTGAAGTGCTAGGATTACAGGCTTGAGCCACTGCACCCAGCTGGACTGGGTTATTTTTATTATTTTTTCAGGTGGCCCAGATGACACATGACCAGTAGTTACAACATGAACACTGCATGGCCATCAGTCATGACAGATGTATTTTTTTCTTCTATGTTTTTGACTATTTCCCAGAGAAGACAGATGTATTTATGCTCTGCAGTATAGCTTCTTTTTCAACCAAGAGAGCCACACCCTAGTCCTTGCTTGTTACTATTGAGAGCTGCACAAGCATCAAATTTTATGGTGACCTACTTAGGTATTCCTTTTTCCTTAGCTTTTGTAAATACTTGTATCCCCTAAGAAGGGACCAGTTCTCAGCCTTATTTCAAATATGGTGGACATGGTAGGTTCAAATGGGTTATAACATACATCAGGTTGGTTGTTCCCTGGGCTGCACACCTGGTACTGGGTAGCATTATATAAACAAGTTCCTTTGAGGGTTCCGGTGCATTCATAGTAACTGTAAAACAAGAGGACTATGGTAACCTTTTGCTTTACCTTGGTAACCTTATGTATGCACTGGGAACAATCCTCAGATGGGAATTTTATATTTACTGGGGTAGCAAAGATACAAGTCCACAGTCCAAAGAGGAGTACCTGTCCCCTGGGGGCAGTCCTCATGCTTCAGCCATGTGTAGATCAGTCAGCTTCCAGGGTGTGACTGGAGCAGGGCTCGTTGTCTGGTTTTTTTAAGGTGATCTTGCATGGGTTATGGAGATTTGGCTTTGCTTCCCAGCTGTCTGGCACTGCAGGTTTCACATGGCTGTGATGGATCCACACAGGAACTCCCTCGACCTTCACAACAGCTGGAGTTGTTAGAATGACAGTTTGGGTCCTTTCCACCTCAGTCGTAGGGGAGATGCATTCCAGTCCTCATCCAAACTTGGTCACCTGGTGAGAAAGAGTGAACTGGGGAGAAGAAGCTGACAGGGAATTTTTTATTGACTCATTTAGACACCTTTTTTTTTTTGCCACCTTTTCTAAAGCCTGGAACTGCTGACATAATTTAGTAATTTAGTTTCCCCTAATTCCCAGGGAGTTCCTGGGAGTCCCCAGAGAATAAGGGGAAGCCTATGATGCAGGATTTCATATGGGGAATATCCAGTTTTTTTAGAAGGTGTACATTTAATTTGAAACAAAACCATAGGAAGGACCGGCACCCACTTTAACCCTGTCTTCTGGCACACTTTCCCTAAGCTATTTTTAATAGTTCAGTTCATTTGTTCCACTTTGCCTGAACTCTGAGGCTGGTAGGCAGCATGTAGTTTCCAGTTTATTCCTAGCATTTTCACCGTACTTTGCACAGGTCAGCTATAAATGCAGGCCCATTGTCTGAGCCTACTCACAAAGGCAGTCCAAATCTAGGGATGATGACTCTTAAAAGAGCACAAGTCCCTTCACAGGCCTTCTCAGTCCGTGCTGGGTCGGCTTCTACCCACCTGGAGTAAGTACATACCTGAACCGGCAGATATCGGTTACCTCCACACTTCGGCATTCCAATGAAGTCCACTTGCAAGTCTTTAAAAGGAGCACTTCCATAAGCCTGGATTCCTGGTGGAATTGTAGGTTCTTGTCTGGCATTGTGCTGTCTGCATGTTACACACTGTTATGTCACTGTTTTTGCTAGTGCAGATAAATGAGACATGTAAAAATACTGGCCTAACAATTTTTTAAGGGTTTCTTGACCAAGGTGAGAGGTTTCATGGACAGCCAAGACCACTGCAGGTCCTGGCAGTTGTGGCACTGCTACTCGTCCGTCTGACAGACATATCCATTCTCCCTTTATTTCCTTTCCACCTTCAGTTTGAAGGAATTTTCTTTCCTTCTCTGAATAAACTGGCACCAACTTTGGGACCTGGGGCAGTGGGGGGGAGACAACTGATGCCCGATGTGGGATAGATGCTGCCCTCTGAGCCTCCACATCTGCATGGGCATTTCCCTGGGCTACTGTGCTGGAGGTTCACTCATGTCCTCAGCTGTGCATGACTGTCAGCTTTTGGGGCTTTTATTTTTAAATTCTGTCCCAAAGTTAGCCTGTTAGCCTCTTGTGCCAGTAGGGCAGTGGTTGCTAAGGCTCGTGGACACAGGGGCCATCCCTTGGAAACTCCATCCAGTTGTTTGGACAAGTATGCCACAGGTCAAGACCATAAGCCCACAGTCTGGGTCAGGAGCCCTACTGCCATTTTTTCTCTCTCAGACACATACAGCTTAAAGGGTTTTGTCAAGTCCCGCAGTCCCAGAGCCGAGGCAGACATCAGTTGTTCGTTTTTTTTTTTTTACTGTGAGAAGGCCCCCTGCTGCTCCAAGCGCCACTTAAACAGCTCTCCATTTCCCCTTACTGTGGCTTCATATAGGGCTTTAGCCAGAACTGCAAAGTTAGGAATCCACAGCTTGCAGAATCCCACTGCCGCCAATAATTCCCGCACCTGCCTCCAATTCTTCACCAGCAGGTTACCGATAACCTGCTTCCTTTTTATTCCTAGGTTTCACAGCCCCTGCTGGAAAGTGTAGCAGGAGTAGCCACGGGAAACAGATCTCTCGGACACTGAATACAGGAGGAAGGAGTTAATTCAGCCAGGAGCAAGGTGACATAGTTGCCTAACCGCCAAGCTCCCCTAACAAAGGAAGCCTATCTTTATATAGGCTTATACTTTAGATGTTACACTTGGAAGAATCTTAGGTTTGTAGCTTAACATATGAAAAAAGTCTCAGTTTACAGTCTCAGGAATTACATATGAAAGTGTTTCAGTTTACAGTCTTAGGACTGAAAAGGGGAAGTTGATCTGAGATGCCTGGATCTCCCTCTTCACCCCCTCCTTTGAGACCCTCACCACTTTATAATATTAGTGAGTGGTCTCATTTTCATTCTCACTTTCCAGATTTTCTGAAGAAACCGACTGATAATGTGTCATATAATACACTTATGATGTCATTTTTTGGCTAACTCCAGTAGTGATGAATCCCCTAATCATCTGAAGGAACAGGGGGAGTAGACAAGAGAACAGTAAACAAACACCGATTATTATTAGAACACTTATGATGAGGGTTTTGAATCCTCCCAAGGATGAGAACCAACCTCCAAATAAAGACTCAGGGTTAAATCCGTGCCACACCTGTACAGGCACGTGTGCCAGTTTGGTCCTGTCTGGCACAATATCGTCCACTGCTTGCCCCGGTCATCTATGTGCAGATAGCAGTTGATTAGATTGAATTTTCCACTGACTCCCCCTTCGGCTGCTAGCAAATAATCTAGGACCACCCGGTTCTGATAAATGGCATTTCTCATTTGAGTTTCTTGTCGGGCCAAGAGGGACAGAGCTTTGCCTGTTTCATTAGAATTTCATTTGGAAATTCATATTTCCAAAATAGCCTGCAACCGGATGATCCGGTTGAGCATGTGAATAGGGGTCTGGTACCCCCATGAGCTATCCTCAGCCCATGTGGCCAGCGCATAATACTCAATAATTATCTCCGGTGGCCACTCATCATCTGTCCAATCCCCTATTTTTAGGTCTCTCTTCTCCCTAGCAGAGTAGACTGGATGCCCTAACAGCTCACCTGTCTTAACAGATAATAGGAAGAAAGAGGGCTTAATGATGCCTATGACACAGCTGCCTGTCCATCTCGCGGATCACACACCTTATACCGAGTACCATTATATAAACAGCTTCCCACCTGTCCATCTCGCGGATCACACACCTTATACTGAGTACCATTATATAAACAGCTTCCCACCTGTCCATCTCGCGGATCACACACCTTATACTGAGTACCATTATATAAACAGCTTCCCACCTGTCCATCTCACGGATCACACACCTTATACTGAGTACCATTATATAAACAGCTTCCCACCTGTCCATCTCACGGATCACACACCTTATACTGAGTACCATTATATAAACAGCTTCCCACCTGTCCATCTCACGGATCACACACCTTATACTGAGTACCATTATATAAACAGCTTCCCACCTGTCCATCTCACAGATCACACACCTTACACTGAGTACCATTATATAAACAGCTTCCCACCTGTCCATCTCACGGATCACACACCTTATACTGAGTACCATTATATAAACAGCTTCCCACCTGTCCATCTCACAGATCACACACCTTATACTGAGTACCATTATATAAACAGCTTCCCACCTGTCCATCTCGCGGATCACACACCTTATACTGAGTACCATTATATAAACAGCTTCCCACCTGTCCATCTCGCGGATCACACACCTTATACTGAGTACCATTATATAAACAGCTTCCCACCTGTCCATCTCGCGGATCACACACCTTATACTGAGTACCATTATATAAACAGCTTCCCACCTGTCCATCTCACGGATCACACACCTTATACTGAGTACCATTATATAAACAGCTTCCCACCTGTCCATCTCGCGGATCACACACCTTATACTGAGTACCATTATATAAACAGCTTCCCACCTGTCCATCTCGCGGATCACACACCTTATACTGAGTACCATTATATAAACAGCTTCCCACCTGTCCATCTCGCGGATCACACACCTTATACTGAGTACCATTATATAAACAGCTTCCCACCTGTCCATCTCACGGATCACACACCTTATACTGAGTACCATTATATAAACAGCTTCCCACCTGTCCATCTCGCGGATCACACACCTTACACTGAGTACCATTATATAAACAGCTTCCCACCTGTCCATCTCGCGGATCACACACCTTACACTGAGTACCATTATATAAACAGCTTCCCACCTGTCCATCTCACGGATCACACACCTTACACTGAGTACCATTATATAAACAGCTTCCCACCTGTCCATCTCACAGATCACAAACCTTATACTGAGTACCATTATATAAACAGCTTCCCTTCCATGTTCCCGAACATTTATAAGAACTGCAGGACAAAAGAATGGCAGTAACTTTTACATCCTACCTGGTGTACATAGAGGGCATTCTTCAAAATTAATGTTCCTAGTGTGCAAGTCAAAATATTAAGAAGAACAAGTCCCACGATGAATCTCCTCATGCTTTGGCCGTGCGTGGACCAGCCAGCTTCCGGGATGTGGCTGGAGCAAGGCTTGTTGTCCTTTTTAAGGTGATTCTGCAGTCCTTGCCTTGGTCTAAGTCTCAGCTGTTGCTGGTTTTTACACTGCGGTGGTGGATTCAGTCTGGGATTCCCTCTACCTTCACGGCTGTGTGATTGTTCTGGATCAGGTCTGAAGTCCTTTCCATTGTGGCTTTAGAGGGGTTGTACTCCCGTCCTTTCTCCACACATGATTACCTAGTGAGAAAGGGTGAACTGGGGAGAATAAGCTTATAGGACATCTGTCATTTACCCAGATTGAAATATCCTGGGCAATTTTCCCTAGAGCTTGTAACCGCCGTCCTAACTCAATCTCCCCCTACTCCCGAGGAGTTCCCAGGAGTACCCAGAGTATGGGAGGGGGCCTATGATATAAAATTTCATAAGGGAAATATCCTGTCTTCCTAGAGGGGGTGCATCTAATTTTTAATAACCCCAAGGGAAGTGCCTGCACCCACTCTAATCTTCTTTCCTGACACACTTTCCCTAACCTGTTTTTGATGGTCCTGTTCTTTTTTTCCACTTTTCCAGAACTCTGAGGTGGGTAGGCAGTGTGCAGTTTCCAGGTGATACCCAAGCCTGTTGCTGTTTTCTGGACTAAATCTGCCACAAATGCTGGTCCGTTGTCTGATCCGATGCACAGTGGCAGTCCAAACCTAGGGATAAGATCTCGAAGCAGCACACGGGTTACTTCATGGGCTCTGTCAGTCCCACCCAGAGTATGTGCACACCAGGACCCACAAATACTTATGTTCCCCACACTTGGACATTTCAATAAAGTCTACCTGGATATCTTTAAAGGGAGCTGCTCCATAAGCTTGAATTCCAGGGGGAATAGTTGGGCCCTGCCTCCCGTTGTGTTGCCCACATGTAATTGCATTGCTGTGCCACAACTTTGGTCAAGGCTGCTAAGTGTGAGATGTAAAAGTACCAGCCCAACATCTTTTCAAGTGACTCTTGACCTAAATGAGTGGTCTCATGTACAGCTTGTACAACTGCGGCCCCCACAGCTGTGGTGCTGCTATTCTTCCATCTGGCCACTGGATCCATCCTTCTTTAATGAGTTGCCCCCTTCTGTCTGGAGAAAGTCTCTTTCCTCCTTAGAGTAAGTAGGTATTACATCAGGGATCCGGGGAATCAGCAGGGCTGTAACTGCTGTTCGGTAGGGGGCAGATGCTGCCTTACTAGCTGCTGAATCCGCTCGGGAATTTCCCAGGGCCACGGAGTTGTGGGCCCACTGACGTCCACGGCAAGGCATGACCGCCACCCTCCGGGGCTTCCAGACTGCTTCGAGCAGCTACAAAATTTCATGCTGATACTTTCTTTTCCCCTTGAAGTTAACAGGTCTCTCTTTTTGTACAGTGCTCAATGTACTTGGAGAGCCGGGAAGGCATATCCAGAGTCAGTGTAAATGTTTACGTTATCTTTACTCAGCTCTAGGGCTTGAGTTAAAGCAATGAGTTCAGCCTTCTGAGCTGAGGTACCCTGAGGCAGGGATCTGGCCTGGATTACAGTGTCCAGAGTTACCATGGCATAGCCTGCACATCTCTCCCCTCGTGGATTGACAAAGCTGCTCCCATCCACATACAACTCCCAGTCTGCTACAGTCCAAAGATCAGGCCTGCTGGAATAGTCCATGTCCCAGACTTCAACACAGTTGTGTTCAACGGGACCCTCTGACGTTGGGAGCAAAGTGGCAGGGTTTAAGGTGTTGCAGACTTCAATGGCGATGTGGGGATTTTCACATAGCAGGCCCTGGTATTTGGTCAGCCTAACATCTGATAACCAGTGGTGCCCTCTGGTATTCATTAGAGTCACTACTGCCTGAGGTGCCTTGATATTTAGGTTCTGTCCAAGAGTTAGCTTATCTGATTCTTGTGCTAGCAGAGCAGTTGCTGCCAGGGCCCTTAAGCATGGGGCCATCCTTTGGAAACTCCATCCAGCTGCTTGGAGAGGTAAGCTACAGGCCTGGGCCTAGGTCCTACTGTTTGGACTAGGACCCCAACTGCCACTTTTTCTCTTTCTGCCACATATAATGTGAAGGGCTTTGTTAAATCAGGCAGCCCCAAAGCTGGAGCTGACATTAGTTTTGTTTTCAGTTCCTGATAGGCCTGACGCTGCTGGGATCCCCATTCAAAGGGCTCCTTGTCTCCCCCATTTGTCACAGTATAGAGGGATTTGGCTAGTACTGCGAAGTTTGGAAATCCACAATTTACAAAACCCATTGCTCCCAGGAGCTCTCTCACTTGCCTTTTAGTCTCAGGTTCTGCCACTTTGCAAGCGGCTTGCTTCCTCTCTGCTTCTATGCTGCGTTCCCCCTTCCGATGGTGAGCTTCAGATACTGCATTTGCTTTTTGGCAAATCTGGGCTTTCCTTTTAGACACTTTATACCCACACTCCTCCAGGTGCCGAAATAAGGCATTTGTTTGCGCACCAGACTGCCTGCCGTGGGGTGTCCCAATAGAAGGTTATCAGCATACGGGGGCAGCGTGCAAGCAAGACGCTTCTCCTCGGGGGTGGTCACCGGCTGAAGCCTCCCCAGGGATGATGAGAGAGTTTTTTGAGCCCCTGGGAAGCTGGGTCCAGGTGTATTGAGTGGTTACACCTGCTTCTGGGTTTCTGCCATTGATATGCAAATAGTTTTTGACCCTCCGAGGTCAGTCCAATGCTAAGGAGGTATTCTTTAAGTTTAATTAAGTGAACCAACTATCCTCTGCTGGCAATAATCCCAACTGCGCATGAGTTGGGTGCAAAGCCACTCAAGCCCTGCACAGGCCTGGGTGATAATATCACTCTTCTGCTTCAGGCTAGGGAGGCTCCACTGGCCTTTCCAAGGGACAGTGAGAGCCTAGATGACCCCTGCCTGAGGCTTTTTTAGCTGCAGGGAGTCTCTTTTTGAATGGGATAGTGGCCTCTGGTTTTACACAACAGGTTTTACCAGAGAAGAGGGGGCAGAGGCAGTCCATTAAGTACAAGAAAGTCTGTTCTCTTAACACCTTAATAGCTCTAACAATATTGGTTCTGTTTTTTTCATGGGGCGTTACAGGGCTGTTGTCCAAACTATGGGCTCTTTGGGGACATATGAGTCTGGCCCCCTTCTCTTTTAGTTTAGTGAACTTTCCATTAGATTGAACAGAGCCCCTTCACTTTTTATCTGAATCCTTGTGCTTAGGATCGCCCTGTTCTCCTGTTAACTGTGGGCATTTTTTTCCCAATGTCCTATTTCTTGACAAAATGCACACTGATCACGTTGCAGGCGCAGGCCGGCAGACTGTGGGGCTTTCCAGGAACTCCCCTTTTTCCATGCTCTTGGGGGCATTCCTATCATAGCAGCAGCTATCAAGTCAGCCTTCCGTTGAGCCTGACGTTCCTTTTCCCTGTGATTTCCCTCTGGCTTACCGCCTCTTGGTTTACGAACGCTTGGTTAGCTACTTCCAATAACTGAAGTATTCATGCATGCAAATCCTACCTGTTTCTGCCACTGAATTTGCCTGGACTTGGGAGTCCACGTTTCTCAACAGCGAGGGGGATGGTGGTTTCTAGCAGTCTGTCCCTTGACTACTAAAACAGTCGCTGCCTGCTCTCTTAGACACTTCGGAAGGTTTAACACTAACTGCAACCATGAGTCTATGTATGGAAATTGATCAAGGTGTTCTAGCTCACTGTATATAACCTCATGCCTTACTTCGGAGACAAGGGGTCCTGTCTAGCATCCCCTCTGGGGGCCAACCTACCCTACATGCTGGCCAATCTTCTCTACACAAAACCCTTAATTTCTCTGGTGTCAAAGTTACTTTATAATTCCCACTAAATCCCTTCTTGAAATTTTTCAGCATGGTTTCTAAAGGGGTGGGCTTGCTATGGGAGTGAGCCATATTAACACTTCAAAGAAACAATTCCCACAGTTAGGAGAGTGTTAGTTCATTCACAGCAGTTCCTGCCTAGCAAGAGGCAGCACGGAGCACTCTCCAATTTACATTCACTTCAATCCTTTTACAACGCCCAGAGGCTTCTTCACTCAGCCTTACGTGGCTGTCTCTAATTCTTTGTTTGTTTGTTTTGAGATGGAGTTTCGCTCTTGTTTACCCAGGCTGGAGTGCAATGGCACAATCTCACCGGAACCTCCGCCTCCTGGGTTCAGGTAATTCTCCTGCCTCAGCCTCCTGAGTAGCTGCGATTACAGGCACGCACCACTATACCCAGCTTATTTTTTGTATTTTTAGTAGAGACGGGGTTTCACCATGTTGACCAGGATGGTCTTGATCTCTTGACCTCGTGATCCACCCGCCTTGGCCTCCCAAAGTGCTGGGATTACAGGCATGAGCCACCGCACCTGGCCCGGCTGTCTCTAATTCTTACAAATTGCTCAAAGCATGAGGCCCTTCCTAATGGGCCCGATACCGTTTATGACTGATGAGTCCGGCTGGACACATCTACACACATAGACACACATCCAATTGCTCTCCTTCCAATTCAAAACCATACGCAAAAGCTTCCAAGGTTACAGAGAGAGCTATCTTCAAAAGTGCCAACCTGGACCTGCAGGTGATCAGGCCATGTCTCCACCCAAAATGGATGGGCTACTTTCCCGAGTTCAATCTTACCAAATTCAGTGGTCCAGACTTCCCCAAATACTCATTCCTCCTCGGTGTTCAGCCACTGGGGGGATCCACACTGCAGGGCCTCCCTGCTCTGCTCTGGCAAGGCTTTTCCACCAGGCAGATACCTGCCCAGGAGCGCTCTCAGGATGCATCACCCTAGCGAGCAGGAGTCCCCCTGCAGGGATGCTCCACAGGCCTAGGCAAACCACCTAAGAGACTTTTTCCCGCCGTTTGCTATCCGAGACTCACTTCCAGCCAACACACCAAAATGCAGCAGGAGTGGCTGCGGACACCGAATACAAGAGGAAGGAGGGTTTATTCGGCTGGGAGCAAGGTGGCATAGTTGCCTAACAGCCAAGCTCCCCTAACAAAGGAAGGTTCCATCTTCATATAGGCTTATACTTTAGATGTTACAGGTGGAAAATCTTAGCTTTACAGCTTAACATATGAAAAGGATCTCAGTTTACAGTCTCAGGAATTACATATGAAAAGGGTTTCAGTTTATAGTCTTAGGAATGAAAAGGGGAAGTTTACAGTCTTAGAAATGAAAAGGGAAAGTTGATCTGAGATGCCTGGGTCTTCCTCTTCACCAGTAAATCCCAGATAGCACACCTGCTATTGGCAAATCTGGGCCTTCATTTTAGAGACCTTGTATTCACAGGTCTCCAGGTGTCTGAGTGACAAGTCAGTTTCCCAGGCACATCCGGCTGCTACCAGGTGCCCTAGCAAAAGGTCATCCACGTACTGAAGCAGCACACAACCTAGATCGTTGGTGGACAAACTCTGGAGCTGCCAGGCCAATGCCTCTCTGAAGATGGTTAGGGAGTTCTTGAACACCTGTCCAAGCCGAGTCCAGGTGTACTGTGTTGTTATGCCTGACTCCAGATCTTCCTACTGGAAGGTAAACAGTTTTTGGCTCTCAAGGGCTAACCAGACACTCAGAAAGCATCCTTTAAGTCTAAGTGAGTGAACCAGCTGTTCTTAGCTGGCAACTCCCAGCAAAATATCAGGATTGGGCACTGTGGGGTGCAAGGTCACAGTTGCCTGGTTGACCAAGTGCAAATTCTGCACCGGTGTATAGTCCTTGGTCCCGGGTTTGAGGACAGGCATGAGAGGCATGTTCCAAGGAGACTGGCAGGGAACTAAAATACCATAAGCTTTCAGGGGTCTGAGATGGACCTGAATGCCCTCAAGAGCTCCCCTTGGTACTCAGTACTGCCTCTGTCTAACTGGTAGTGCCCCTGGCTTTACTTTGACAACCACTGGGGCTTGGTTTACTGCCAATCCTGGAGTGTTTTCTGCCCAGACCAGTGGCCATCCTTGGTCCAGGGGTTAATTCTCCTCCCAGCTTAGTTAGGAAGAGTCTCCACTCCTCCCTCAGGACTGGGAGAGCCATGATAATTTCTGCCTCAGGTAGTTTGAGCGAGCCCTTATCAGTAAATGTGACAGTAGCTCTTAGTTTGCTCAGCAAGTCTCTCCCCAAGAGGGGTAGGGGGCAGTCCAGCACATACAAAACCTGATGTATAATCTCGTGGCCTTCCATCAAACAGGTCCATGGTAGGCAGAAAGCCTGTTTCTTTGAAACTTTAGTGGCCCCAATTATATTTATTGTCTTACTGGACAAAGGAGCTACAGGTTGGGTCACCACCTAGTGATTTTTTTGTTTTTGTTTTAAGTTTGCTCTTACTGTTACACTGTTTGCCTTAAGCTGTTGAGCCTGGCAACTCCCACACACAGCTGTGCAGACAGCTCTCCCTTGTCTTTAGGGTTAGCAGTTGAACTTTTTTTATCCCTGATTTTTCTTTTTACCTTTTTTTTTTAAGCTACCAGCAGAGCTGATCTTTCTTTTATGCTGGGCTCAGCCTGAACTACGAGCGTTTTGCAGTAATTTGCTAGATAGGGCTGCAGCCACACAGGTTGGGTCTGAATTCTGATTAGCCATGAGTTAATGTAAGGGAATTGGTCCAGATGCCCTGGCTGTCCTTTGACCTTGATTACCACCTTAAATACACGGCCAATTGCTGTTGTTTTTTTAATCTGTAGTTTCTTTGTCTGGATGGCTGACACCAAAAGAAGGCCATTCTAATTCACAAAGAGTTTTTAACCTTTGAGGAGACAACTTTACATCATATTTCCCAGAAAAACCTTCCTTGCAATTGTTTAGCATGCACTCCAAAGGAGTAGGTGCAAGTTTTGACTCACTTCCCATTTTCATTTATTGCCTCCTTCCTCCACCTTTATGATGCACAATCACACAGATTCTGAGGTTCTGGTGATGCTTAATCAGGAGGATCCCTTAAACCCCCACAAAAATGCTCCTGCCTTCTGTGGGGACCCTCCTTTGGATTGTATGCACTATGTCAGCTGCCAGTCCAGCAGGCTCTATCCCACTCTTTGCTGGCTCTCAGGATATAAGGGTTTCCACATAATCTCCAGCTACCCCCGGAATGGGCACCCCTTAATCCTAGAGGGAGGCGATTAAGCTGCTCTCACCTGCCCTCTACAACAGGATTTTCCCCATCCTCTACGACAGGCCTTTCCTCCCTCCAACCAAGTCAGAAACAGAAACAAGTTTAAGGAGCCAAGTCTGGCTTACAGAGTAACAAAATTAAAACCAAAGTGCCGAGATTCACACACACACACACACACACACACACACACATGAACAAAACCAAACCAAGGTGCAAGACTCCATCTCAAAACAAACAAACAAAAGAATTAAAAATAATTGAAAGAAAATCAGTGAAACCAAAAGCTGGTTCTTCGTTGAGAAAATCAATAAAACAAAAATCTCTAGCCAGACTAATTAAGGAAAAAGACACAAATTTCCAGTGTCAGGAACGAAGGTAGACATCATTACAGACACCACAGACATTAAAAGGAAAATAAGGGCACAATATGAACAACTTTTTGCCAGTAAACTCAACATGTTAGATAAAATGGACAAATTCTGTGACAGACACAAACTAACAAAGCTCACTCACAAAGAAATAAACAACCTCAACAACTTTATATCTACCTGGAAAATTGAATTGTGGGTAATAACTTTTCTACAAAGAAAACTCAAAGCCTAGATGGCATCGTTGGTAAAATATGTCTATCCATATTTAAGGAAGAAATACCACCAATTCTACACAAACTCTTGTAGAAATTAAAGATGAAGGAATCTTTTCCAATTCATTCCATGAGACCAGCACCTTGATACCAAACCAGGCAAAGCTAGACCAAAGAGAATTATAGGAATCAATAACTTTCATAAACATAGACACAAAAGTTCTTAAAATTTTAGCAACCTGAATCCAACAATATCTTTAAAAGGATAATATGTCAGGTAGGGTTTTTCTAGGAATGCAAGTTACTGAAACTGAGAGGCATCAAAGGAACCCCAGAGCTAGGGCATGAAGCAGGTAAGAAAAGAAGGTGCCGTCTGCCACATGCTGAGAGAGTGAAGACTGCAGGCAGGGAGCAGCTGGCCCTGTGAGTTCGGGGGAGTCTCTCTCATCCCCCTCCCTTTTTTCTCTGTTTCTCCTTTAAAGCAAGGTTTCCAAGCTCTTTGCCTCACAGGTATCTCACCGGTAATTGACAAGCCTGCCCTCCTGCCTCTGTAGCTCAGTTTTCTCCATAGCCTTCATAGCCTTCAGTTTTCTCCATAGCCAGATAATGGCTGGGCATGGTGGCTCACGCTTGTAATCCCAGCACTTTGGGATACCAAAGCGGGCAGATGGTTTGAGTCTAGGACTTCAAGACCAGCCCAGCCAACATGATTAAACCCTGTCTCCACAAAAACTACAAAAATTAGTCAGACATAGTGGTGTGTGCCTGTAGTCCCAGCTGTTTGGAAAGCTGAAGTGGGAGGATTGCTTGAGCCCAGGAGGTGGAGGCTACAGCAAGCTGTGATCACACCACTGCACTCCAGCCTGGGAACACAGCAAGACCCTGTCTCAAAAAAAAGGAGGGGCGGGGGCTGGGTGCAGTGCTTGTGCCTGTAATCCCAGCACTTTGGGAGGCTGAGGCAGGCCAATCACGAGTTCAGGAGTTCAAGACCAGCCTGATCTACATGATGAATCCCCAGCTCTACTAAAAATATAAAAATTATTCGGGTGTGGTGGCGTGCACCTGTAATCCCAGCTACTCAGGAGGCTGAGGCAGGAGAATCACTTGAACCCGGGAGGCGAAGATTGCAATGAGCTGAGATGGTGCCATTCATTCCAGCCTGGGCAACAGAGTGAGATTCAACTTCAAAAAAAATAAAAAAGGATATGTGCTTTGGGGGCCCTTTTTTACCTTTTCCAGAGTATATCTCAGCCTCTCTCCACTCCAGCATTGTTGCCCCTCAGCCCAGTGCTCATGGAGTTTTTCCCAAGCAAGACGCTGGCACTGCTTTGTAAATGCTCATGTGTTCATTACACAGACACTTACTCACTTTAGTTTTTAAAATTTCATTTTAAAAGTAATACATGCATGCACAAGTTAAAAACGACTCCATACAAAAGTTTACACGGTAAACACTAATTCTCCCTTCATTCACCTACATTTACCAATGGTCCCTTTCCTGTATTAAAGAGACCTGAGGTCAGGCTGGGTGGCTCACAGCTGAAATCCCAGCACTTTGGGAGGCCAAGGCTGGCAGGTCAATTGAGGTCAGAAGTTCCCGACCAGCCTGGCCAACATGGTGAAACCTCATCTCTACTAAAAATACAAAAATTAGCTGGGCGTGGTGGCAGGTGCCTGTGATCCCAGCTACCTGGGAGGCTGAGGCAGGAGAATCACTTGAACCTCAGAAGTGGAAGTTGCAGTGAGCTGAGATCATGCCACTGCACTCCAGCCTGGGCAAGAGAGCGAGACTGTCTCAAAAAAATTAAAAAAAGAGACCTGAAGGTGCCTCATATACTGTTTAGAGACATTCATGCATGTAACGGTCTACACTCAGTGTCTGCTTTCTCTTTGCTTTTACTTAGCAATGTGTCCTGAAACGTTCCATGTGAAATTATATAGCAGCCTCTCAGTATTTTTAATGGCTGCACAGTGATCGATTTTACGAATGTATAGACACTAGATGCAAATGAATACATACCAATAACTCCATCTGCATAAAGTTCAGAAATAGGCAATACTAATATGTTTTCAAAATCCAGGCTAGAGGTCACCCCTGAGGAGGAAAAGGTCAGAGACCAAGGGGTAGGAGTTGCCAGGGGGCTGGTCATGCTGTTAGGGAAACAGGAGCCTAGGAGAGACAGGGTGATACTGTTTAAAAATCAACTCCATCTTTTTTTTTTTTTCTTTTTTGAGATAGGGCCTGGCTCTGTCATCCAGGCTGGAGTGCAGTGGCGTGATCTAGACTCATTGCAACCTCCACCTCCCGGGCTCAAGCCAACCTCCTACCTCAGCCTCTCAAGCAGCCGGGACTATAGGCACACAACCTCATGCCTGGCTAATTTTTGTATTTTTTTTTTTTTTATAGAGACATGGTTTTGCAGTGCTGTCCAGGCTGGGGTCAAATTCCTGGGCTCAAGCAATCCACCCATTTCGGCCTCCACAAATGCGGGAATTACAGACCTGAGCTACCAGGCCTGTCCCAACTCCATCTTTTCCTTTCTTTCTTTCTTTTTTTCTTTTTTTTTTTTGAGACATAGTCTCACTCTGTCACCCAGTCTGGAGTGCAATGGCATGATCTTGGCTCACTGCAACCTCTGCCTCCCAGGTTCAAGTGATTCTCCTGCCTCAGCCTCCTGAGTAGCCAGGATTACAGGCACATGCCACCATGCCTGGCTAATTTTTTGTATTTCTAATAGAGATGGGGTTTCACTATGTTAGCCAGGATGGTCTTGATCTCCTGACCTCATGATCCACCCTCCTCAGCCTCCCAAAGTGCCGGGATTACAGGTGTGAGCCACCGCACCCGGCCCCAACTCCATCTTAAAACTAGCAAGGCACATTCCTTGCCAGTCCTGACCCATGGTCGTAAGATGCTATGGCTAAAAGGGCAGTTTAGTAATGCCTGCAAGGACAAACTCCTATCACAACAAAATGTCTAGATGCTCCAATACTGCCTAAAAATATACAATTTAAGATAGTCATAGTCAGGCCAGGCACAGTGGCTCATGCCTGTAATCCAGCACTTTGAGAAGTCAAGGGTAGATTACCAGGTCAGGAGATCGAGATCATCCTGGCCAACATGATGAAACCCCTATCTCTACTAAAAATACCAAAAAAGTTAGCTGGGTGTGGTGGCACATACCTGTGGTCCCAGCTACTTGGGACGCTAAAGCAGGAGGATAGCTTGAGCCTGGGAGGTGGAGGTTGCAGTGAGCCAAGATCAGGCAATTGCACTCCAGCTTGGGCAACAGGGTGAGACCTTGTCTCAAAAAAATACATATATATAGTCATGCTGTGATGTATTTATGCATTAAAATGCCAAGAATAACTTTCTTTAAATAAAAAAAGCACTAAATTTTGCTATGCTGTCAGCCCACCCCCATGTAGACATAGCTTAGTTTTTGCACAGATAAGACCCCTACACAAGAGTTTAAAACAAAGAGGGTGTGTTCCCACCTTGCTTTCTGAGAATGGCCTGCTCTGTAACTGAGTAACTTTCAATAAACAACTCCTCACTGCACTCGGCAACTTGCCTTGAATTTCTTCTGGATAAGATCCAATAACCCTCTCTTGGGGTCTGGATGGAGACCACTTTTCAAGCAACAATGTTTCCTGCACCCAGTGGTGGTTATACAAGTGTGTCCACATTTTAATCATTCATTGAAATATACATGTACACTTGTGATTTCTGCACATTTCTGTATGACACTGTGCTTCAATTTTACAAATTTTAAGCTCAAAACCCATAGAGAGAGATACAGAGAAATAACAATGGATCCGTTTGATAAACAAACGTAGAACTCAACTATCTTGCACTCTTGCAGTAGCTGCCTCCGGTGTCACGGGGGGCTGCATGCATGCCAATTCCCCGCCCAATAACCTTTGGTAGGTTATCAAAGTGTGAGGACCTCGACTGTAAAATGAAAGTAATAATACAACCACCTGATATTGTTGCAAGGATTTAATATAACCAATGTAAAGTGGGCAGAAGTGCTCCGCAGGCACATAGCAGGTGCTCAATAAATGCCAGGACCAAAATACCACAAAACTGGAATTTTTATAAGGAAAAGGATCTTTTCTTCAGTGCTCAACGAGGAAATAGAACGGCGCAGTTCGCGGTGGCTGACGCCTGTAATCTCAACACTTTGGAAGGCCTAAGCGGGAAGACTGCTTAAGCTCAAGAGTTCCAGACCAGCCCGGGCAACATAGCGAGACCTCTTCTCTACCAAAAAAAAAAAAAAAAATTAATTAGCTAGCGTTGCGCGGTGGCAGTATGGTAGCCAATGAGGTTTATCCGAAGCGCGATTATTGCTAATTGAAAACTTTTCCCAATACCCCACCGTGACGATTTGCAATAGAGTCGGCATTGGCAATTTTTAACAGTCTCTACGAAAACTATCTCAGTAAAAAAAGAAAAAGAAAAAGAAATAAAAATTAGCTGAGGGCAGTGGTGCGCACCTGTAGTCCCAGCTACTCGGTTCGCTCGAGTCCAAGGATTCCAGCCTGGGCGACAGAGCAAGACACCTCTAGAAAAAAAGAAAAATACTTTAGGTGAAATATCCAGGGCCGGCCTTCTTGGAGAGGGCGCTCTCACAAAGGAGCGTGGCCCGAGTTGCTGCGGCGCGGGAAAAGTGCCTTCCTGGACTGGGGAATTCGCAGCTCCACCGACTCGGGCCTCGCCCACGAAATCAGCCTAGCCCAGCTCCGCTTTCTGGCGCCCCCATCCCCTTTAAAACGGAGCCATGACATCATCCCCGACGCTGCGCAGCCTACCTTGGCCACGCCGCGACCGCTTTTTCCGGGCGACCTCAATTGGCTGGCCAGCTTCTGGAGGCTCCGCCCCCTTCGCGCAGCCAGCCCCGGACGCCCGCTGTCAATCGGGCCAGGTAGGAGCGGTGATTGGCCGCGTGCCCCGCCCTCCAGAAAGTCCCACCGGGCTTGCGTAGGCTGCACGCTTGGGAGGGAGGGGCGCGGTGCCGCGTCTGGAGTCGCAGCCGTCTGGGTCCTCTAGCCCGCCCGCCCGCGCGGTCCATCCTGCAGCCAACCTATACTGGGCAGGGCCGGCGCGGCCTGGCCATGGAGTCCTACGACATCATCGCCAACCAGCCCGTGGTCATCGACAACGTGAGGCCCGGCAGCCAGGGGGAGGGCGGGCGCGCCTCCCCCGGGGGCGCCAGCGGCAGCGTAGGGAGGGATCCCCTCCGCCCGCCTTGGCGCGGCCGTCGCCCCCGCTTGGCCGCTCGCTTCGCTCCCGGGGCGTGCGCTCTCTTGGCCCTGTAGGGCCGGCCTTGGGGCGAGCCCCTTCCCCGACCCCTTCCCAAGCCGGGCGGGGAAGTTCGGGAAAGCTTGAATGACAGCCGGGCGGCCGGCGGGGAACGCGCCTCGGACCCTTCTCAGTTGAGAACGCTGTCGCTGGGCAGGTTTCGACCCCAGTCCCTTTCCCAGTCCTTCGGCCCTGGCTCTGGCTACCTGACAGAGGTGGGGTGACATTTGTCCTTTACACACTGCTGGCTTCATCTTTGGGGCTGCACCCCGAGGCAACAAATTCACGGTACTGTCACCCACATGTCCACCACCATCTGGTTGCCTTTTGGCTACTTTGACTTTCTTCTTAAATGCTCCCTCTGCTGAGCAAACACCACACCAGCAGGGCAGTAGAGAGTACATGGCCACTCTTCCCAGTATCAGCAAACAATTTGGGTGCTCGTTTGGAAGCCTCAGAGGAAAGATGTCAGGCTTCCTGTGGCTTTGTGCTTCAGCAGTGGGGCTCGGCTTGCTTTCAGCTGTCATAGGAAGATTTTTGGCCTCTGAGCTCTGACATGGGGAGAAGATAAGGGCTGGGATCTTTGGGTCTGCCCCTAGCTGGATATCTATGTCTGGTGTGCGGGCCTTGGAGTTTTTGGTAATGACTCACTTCTGCTCTTTCTGGGATCTGTCTCCCTCCCACATAACCCTGTGGGGTCTCTGAATGGCTGTTTTGGAGTACCCATGTGGGCTCCCTGAATCACAACAGGCGATGTTTAATAAGGAGGCTAATACAGAGTTTGGGGATGTGCTGTCACAACAGCAGGACGCTGCTGGAAGGAGCAGGCTTCTTCCTTTCTTGATGTGCAAATAACTCATATAGGCTAATCAACAGGCTTGAGTTCAAAAGGGTACCGTTGGCCCCTGAGAATTCCAGCCCTCCTCTGTAACTTGGAGATGTTTATTTCTGCCTCAGACTCAGAGAGTTGCGATGAAGAGTGGTGGGGCTGAGTTGAGAAGCTGATCCCCTCGCTGGGTGGGAGGTTTCTAATTGCCACGTTCTTTTGGATATCCTTAAGTCCAGCTTCCAGGTGGGGGCAGCGATAGAACCAAGTTCTCCCAGCAGTCTCTGGGGAAGCCACTTGAGGGAAGCTGCCAGTCATCCCATGCACCCATTGGTCTTCTCCAGCAGGCCCTGTAGGTGGTCCATGTTCCATGCCTCCTGGGTTCTTGGGAGAGAGGGAAGTGTTGAAAATAATAATAATAATAAACAGAAGGGTTTCTAGCTTTGGGAGTAGCATGTGCTGTGGAATCCTCCTGCTGGAGCCAACCCTTGTGTGCAGAGGAAGGTGTCCTTCACAGTTTCTCCATCATCTCTGTATTGGCTAGCTTATTGTTGGTAGTGCACACTGACCTGTACATTGTAGGATGTGCAGCAGCAGCCCTGGCCTCTGCCCATTAGATGCCAACAGCATCCCCCACTCCATGTATTCTCTCCCCAGCTGCCAGACATTGCCAAGTTTTGCCAGGGGAGGAGGATGCAAAACTGCTCCCAGTCTTGAACCATTGGTGTACTTGCAAATGATCCTGGCAGGGTCCCTGGCTTCCTCACTGGCCTTCCTTGGCGGAGCAGCCAGATCTCTCCATTGCAGGGCGCAGGCTTCATCTGGTGGTGCATGTTGTGGAGCTAAACTTTGTTTTTCCTTGCAGGGTTCGGGGGTGATCAAAGCTGGCTTTGCAGGAGACCAGATTCCCAAATACTGTTTCCCAAACTAGTAAGTGTGGCTCAGGCAACAGCCCCAGCCCTTTTGTTTACTTTCTGTGAGAACATTGGCCTTCTGTCACAGCACTCTTTGAAGACAATTTTTGCCCTGACCTGTATGGAAGACACCAAATTTGTGAGGTTGACACTATTGGGAGAGCTCTGAAGAACAACACAAGCATTCTAGGGTTTCCTTTTGTCTTTGGAGTCTCTTGTTTTGGTCTTATTGAGCCAGCAAGGAGGAATAGCAACCAGCATTTCCCTGGGGATGAAGTATGTTAGCAGCAGCAAGAATAAAGGGAGGTACCTCCAAGGGGAGCCCTGAACTCACAGTAGGAAGAGTGAGAAGTTAGATGGCCAGCCACCCTTTCCTCCCCGCAAGGGTTTTCTACAGGGCTGTTTTCAGACTCCAGCAAATGTCTTTTTTAGTTAAGGGGGGAACCCTTGCCCTGTATGGTACTGGTGAAGGTGGGAATAGGAGAGAAGTGCAAACCCAGAGAGCCTGGGGTGCCCCTTGTACCTGCTCTGAACCCATTGGGAAAGTTGCCCTTAGGAGTCCCTCTTCCCAAATCCTGGAGGCTTTGGAATGAATGGCCTAAAGGCAGGGGGCAGCAGGAGATCCTACGCCCCTGAGTGGCAGGCTAGCCCAAGCCTGGCCTAGTCTGGGACAGAGCCAGCATCCCTGTCGAGCTTCAGTGTTCCTTTCCGACTGCGTGGGTAATTAGAGGTTCCTTTGCCTTTAGTGATAGTGCATCAGATCCTACAGTTTCTAAGAACTAAATCTCTGATCCAGAAGCCCTGGCAGTGGGAAGGGCGGCATTGACTGAGTGAGAGTGGGTGCACAAGGAAGCCCTGACCCAGCTTTCTGGGGCGGTCCTCCCTCAGTCTGTGGACAGTGATGGCAGCCCTGCCCTGCCGAAGTCACCACTGGCTGCAGGAGGCTGACTCTCTGCCAGGGCTGGGCCATGGAGGGCTGGGTTCTGGTGCTCAGACATGCAGCTGTCTTGCCAACTGTGCCTCCTGACCCTCAGCTTCTTGTCCCATCCAGCTCCCCTCTCTAGCCCCAAACCCCATGGACCCCAGTTCCAATCTGTGCCCCCCAGCCACATCCTGGTGCTCCAGAGGCCAGGTACCCTCTGGGCAGCTGGGGTTGGATTTCGGTTTTTCTGGACACAAGCTCCACCCTGCTCTCTGCCCACCTCGCTGGTGTTATCTGTCTTCACAGTGTTGGGAGGCCCAAGCACATGCGGGTGATGGCCGGAGCCTTGGAGGGGGACCTCTTCATCGGACCAAAAGCAGAGGTAACGCTGCGGAGCCTGCCTTTCCCTAGCTGTAGGATCCTCAGTTTCAGGGACATGGCAGATGTGAGAGGCCTGTATTCTTGGGCCTCTGCTGGTGCCCTCCCTAGCACCTCCTCTGGGTTCCAGCTGGGAAGTGCTGCACAGGGGCACCTCCCCTCTGAAACGGGGCAGTGGGTAGAGCTCACCGTGTCCTGTCTTTTAGAAGCTATTTGGAAGCTACAAAAGCAAGAACTGATTAAAAACTGAAGTAAGAGTCAGAATCATATGCACTTGATGTCTGCTCTGTTGAGGGTCGTGGGGCTGCCTCTTACACGGTAGCCAGGGTGGCCTGCCAAGGGGCCCCACTGCCCGATCAGACTGTGAGGAGAGCATGTGTGGGTGTGGGGAGAACATCGAGCTGAGCTTGGGCAAGTATGGTTTAGGCACCTGAGGAGCATTGTGTGAAGTGCTGGGGCGTGAGGCATGGTTCAGGGCCCAGAAAGGGGAGGCCTGAGCTGGAGGTGCAGAGATAGGGGTCTTGCAGATGGGGTCAATAGGGGCCAAGGTGGTGAGAGGAGCTAAGTGGTGCTTGGTGAGAAGGGGCATACCTGGGGGACAGTGAATGGCAGGTGGAGGCAGCGTGTATTGGTGCATGCAGGAGACGTGAGGACCGTCCAAAGGGCTGGGGGGAGAGGTGCAGGTCAGGGGGCACAGGTGGCCCAGGAGGGGCCATGTTGGATGGCTACAAGGCACCGGTGCTGGCAGAGTGCGAGGAGAATGCGGGGGATGCGCCGGCAGTGAGAACTGGAAAAAGAGGGCCCTGTGGGTGGGAGTGGCACTTAGCCACCCTCTCTGATCCCTGCAGTTGAAGCTAGCTGGGCTCTGCAAGCCTCAGAAACTGTTGGGCAGATGAACCCGTGCTGAGTTCAGGATCCGCTGCAGAGCCTGGGACACTCAGGGAACCAGGGTGGCTCTGGTCAGGGCAGGTTGGGGAGCTTCCAGGGGGGTGGAAAGCAGCCACTGAGCAAGGGGCAGGTGCCATACCTCCCTTCCCACCCCACCAGGAGCACCGGGGGCTGCTGACCATCCGCTACCCCATGGAGCACGGCGTGGTGCGAGACTGGAACGACATGGAGCGCATCTGGCAGTACGTCTACTCCAAGGACCAACTGCAGACCTTCTCGGAGGAGGTGTGGCAGCTGCCGCTCTTGCACACTCCGCATTCTCCTGGCTGTTCCCCTCTCCTCTGTGTCCCTCCTGGCCAGTCTCCCACATTTCCCCTCTGCATTTTGAGAGGGTCTGCTGCCTTTCCATGTGTGTCTGGGTGCACATGCATACCCAGTGGCTGCCGGGCAGAACCTTCCAGAAAGACCCAGATCTCTGGAAGAGTAACTGCCGGCAGATAAAGGGATAGTGCCCTCAGGAGTGGTAGGAGGCTGAGCCGCCTATGCTCTAGCAGGTGTGGCTCTCTGGAAAGAGCCTTCTAGGGCCTTGCAAGTTGCCTCCATGCATACCTACAACTGTCCCGTCCCTCGCAGCATCCTGTGCTCCTCACGGAGGCCCCGCTCAACCCCAGTAAGAACCGGGAGAAGGCAGCGGAGGTATTCTTTGAGACCTTCAACGTGCCAGCCCTGTTTATCTCCATGCAAGCTGTGCTTAGTCTGTGAGTAATCCCCAAGCCCTGGCTCCCCCGAGTCCTGTCCTCCCTGTGCTGTCCTCCTGCTTGCCATGACCGGGGTCTGACTTCCCTTGAAAAACAGCCCCTTGATGACTGTTCCTCTAGGAATTCCCTCATGTCCTTTCTTCAGACTAGATAATGCAGACGTGCCAGGGTTCCTCCCCTGGGTGAGGAGGTCCCCGTGCCTCAATGGCTGAGGTGAGGGGATGCTGACCTGGTGACAGGTATGCAACGGGACGCACGACAGGAGTGGTTCTAGATTCGGGGGACGGGGTCACTCACGCTGTGCCTATCTATGAGGGCTTTGCCATGCCACACTCCATCATGCGGGTGGACATTGCCGGCCGTGACGTTTCCCGCTTCCTCCGACTGCTGCTGCGCAAGGAAGGGGTTGACTTCCACACCTCAGCAGAGTTTGAGGTTGTCCGGACCATTAAAGAGGTGATGAGGGGCAGGAGGGCATGGATACCACCTGGGATGGGGAAAGCGTGGCACCAAGGCACAGGTGTCCCAGGTGCAGCTTTCTGAGGATTGTGTCCCTGCCCCCACAGCGAGCCTGCTACCTGTCCATCAACCCACAGAAGGACGAGGCTCTGGAGACAGAGAAGGTGCAGTACACCTTGCCAGATGGCAGCACACTTGATGTAAGTGACTGGGGCTGGCACTGGAGCAGCAGCCGATGCCCAGCCCAGGGGAAGGGGTGGCCTGCTTCTCCAGGAAGCCTGTCTGCCTCACTCTTGTACACTAAAGGTTGGGCCTGCGAGATTCCGAGCCCCTGAGCTGCTGTTCCAGCCGGACCTTGTGGGGGATGAGAGTGAGGGGCTCCACGAGGTGCTGGCCTTTGCCATCCACAAGTCTGACATGGACCTGCGCCGGACACTGTTCGCCAACATTGTGCTTTCAGGTGGCTCAACGCTTTTCAAAGGTACTATGGCTTGGGAGTTGGCAGTGGTGAGGTAAGGCTGAGGGCTCTGGACCCTCAGAGACTGCACCCCCACCCAGAGCCATTTTCTATTGGCTTTACCCTAGACACTCCTTTGGTGGTATTCAGGAAACTTTTTTTTTAACATACCAAGATTTAAAATTAAATTGTGTTTACTCTGTAAATAGAGGACTTTACACAGCTCTGAAGTGCATTGTGAGTGTTGAGCAAGGAGCACGCGCAGCTTCATCTCAGCTGCCTGTGAGGACGTAGGGGCCGTAGGCAGCCATGGGGCCGGATCATTCTTTTTTTTTTTTTTTGAGACGGAGTTTCGCTCTTGTTACCCAGGCTGGAGTTCAGTGGCACAATCTTGGCTCACTGCAACCTCCATCCCCCAGGTTCAACTGATTCTTATGCCTCAGCCTCCTGAGTAGCTGGGATTACAGGCACGAGCCACTATGCCTGGCTAATTTTTATATTTTTAGTAGAGATGGGGTTTCACCATCTTGGCCAGGTTGGTCTCAAACTGCTGACCTCATGGGGGCCGGATCATTTCTCAGCCCTGCCCTTCATCTTGGGAAATGCTGCTGAGAGAGGACCAGCAGCAGCTGGGGCCCTGAAGGTCAGGTGTGGGGAGCTATCAGTGAGGAGGCTGGGGGCAGACACCAGGCTCAGCCAGCCTTGTGTTCCAGGCTTCGGAGACCGATTACTCAGTGAAGTGAAGAAGCTTGCCCCAAAGGACGTCAAAATCAAGGTAAGGTTACAGAGATACCCCTGGAGCGCTAGGGCGCTGGCAGCCTTGGGGAAGAGGAGTTGGGAGAGGGGGGAGGGGGGAGGGGAAGAGGTTGGGGGTGGATGCCGCCTCCACAACCGCTCTCTGGCTCAGGTCCACCCAGCCCTACTCCCTCCAGTGCCACTGCTGCCACTCCCCAGCTGATGCCTTTGCTGTCAGGTCTCAGGCCCTGGGGAAGGTGACCTCAAGGCCAGGAGGGTGGCTTCTGGGTGGGGACCCACAGTTATGTGGCCACGTCCTCCCTCTAGATCTCGGCCCCGCAGGAACGGCTGTACTCCACATGGATTGGGTGAGGCGGGGCTCAAGGGAGGGCTCTGGGAGGAGACCACTTTACCCTGGACACTCTTCCCAGGGGTTGGCCCTGGCCTGGTGGAGGTTGGTGGATTTCCCTCCCAAATTAGGGAAATGGAACTCTGAGCGCCAGGAAAGGTGGTTGGCTCTCCGACAGGTCCACAGCAATGCTTACCCTCCATCCCCACAGCGGTTCCATCCTGGCCTCGCTGGACACTTTTAAGAAGATGTGGGTGTCCAAAAAGGAATATGAAGAGGATGGTTCCCGTGCCATTCATCGCAAAACCTTCTAGTGCCCAAGGAGGGTGGGCATATTGGGAGACGGGGAGGGAGGGGAGTCAGAGCCTTTAACCCTTTTTGATCTGGGCTCATATACTAGGCTTAGGGTCCCCTGCATGCCCTGAACCCCTGGGCAGGCGGGCGCAGCAGTGTCCCCCTGCAGCCTTCCCTTCTACACACATACACACACACACGTGCATGTGGCATGTTCACATGCACATGCACACACACAACATTGAGCTGCACGGACAGGAGCCTTGAGCTGGCACGTAGGAATTGAGCGCCATGTTGGGCTGTTCTGGGTTTCCCCCTGGCAGGGCCAGCTAGGCCTGTGGTTCCCTGCTCTGATGCTCAGGGCTGCCTCCCCGAGCTCCCAGGGTCAGAATCCCTGGATACCTGTGTAACCAGCTTTGGGGACTGGGTTGGAGGGGGCAGCCAGCAACTACCACTGGTGTGTAGTGTATCCATTGCTACCTCCTGTTCATGACCTAACAGGATAGCCCATTTGCTTTCACCCTCTGTTCTCCCATCTTCCTGGGTAGATGCCCTGGTGTAGGGCTGAGTACTGAGTGGTCTTCCATCCCCACCAAGCGGATGCAGCCAGAGTCAGGCGCTGCGGAGCCAGAGCAGAGGATGCACAGTGCCTGGAGCTGCTGCGTGTTCCCCTTCAGAGCACTTCATCAACTTGCTTCTCCCTCTCCTTTACCCCTGGGCAGGAAAGGGTTAATGCTCGTCATTTATTAAGGGGAAGCCTCTTAATAAGGAGTCAGACCTAAAAGCAGGTGAGGGACATTTTCTTCTCTCACCTCCCCAAAGAAAGAGGTTGTCACTTTTGCCATGGCCAGGGGCCCACCTCCCTCTCTCAGATATGTACAATAATTTAACACAGTTGCCTGAAAAGAAAACTTTTGTAAATCATTATAGTAATAATTATGGACAAGGTCCAGTGTGTGATTCTGTTTTCTTGTGGCTCTTTGTGCTGTTGTTTGCTCTTCCATCCCTGGAGACTGAGAGAAAGGACTAGAGAGAAACACAGTATGGCATTGGCTCTAGCTCAGCAGTGTGAGGGTTTCAGTGGTTGGCTGAGCAACGGGGCATGGGAGGCCTCAGGAGGCCAGGCTCTCCCCTTGGAGCATAATTCCCTCTCCTGTTACCCCACTGCTGCAGTCCACCAGGGGAAGCAGAACCAGGCTGCCTTCTTTACCCCCAGGACCTTGGATGGGCCTGTTTGGGCACCTCTGCCCACACCATTCAGCCAGGGCTAAGGCTGGTGGACACCAGCAATGAGGAAGGCTTATCCGTTCAGACAAGTCAGGATGGGGAAGGCAGGAAGAGACAAAGAGGCTGTGAGCTTAGCCAGGCCCTAGAGGAAGAGGCAGAAGAGCAAGGAGACGAAGAGTGGAAGGAGGAGTGAGGAATTACAGTTTGGAGAATATCTGCTCTTTACTTTCTTAAGTGTTTAAGCACCTACAGCATGTCCAGGATAGTGCTGTGTGTTTGAAGCCAATAGTTGACAAGTTATATCCTTGCCCTAACAAACATATAGGTCAGGGGAGTAGGACAGATGGGCTGTTTTAGTACAGAGTTGTGGGGGCCGAGGTGACAGGCGTCTAGCCCAACAGGTGGGGCAGGCCGACTTGCAAGGGCCCAGAGGTTAGCCAGAGAGGGGGAAGGCATTCTATGCAGAGGTAAGAGCCCACAGAAGCACCTGCGCCCAGTGGGGCTGAAGAGAAAGGCATGGACCCATTGTCCAGTCAGCAGGGAAGGGTCAGTGGTCTCCTGTGGCCATCGTGTGAGATGAACCAAAAAGGTGGGTTGAGCTGGCATGTGGAGGATTGTTAGCTGTGTCCTGGGAGACGGGTGGCCAGCCATAGAAGGATGGTGACCAGAGCAGTGTGTTGTAGGCAGTTAAGATTTGTGGGGGCCAAGGGAGGGCCCAGAACTGAAGAGATGAGGTAGGAGTGGGGAGAGTACTGAGGCCTGTCTGCACAAGGCTTTTTGTGAGGCTGTGGTCACAGGGCAGTTAGGCTTGCACCAGCCCTCAAAGGAAATGCAGAATTTATACCAAGAACTGTGTTAGGGTGCCCTCCAGAGGTATTCCCATGGGGCTATGTTCATGGCACCACTGGCTCCCTGCCTCCCAGGTTGGAGCCTTATCCCTCAACACCTTCCTCTTCCCTGTCTCTCCCACGCTGTCAATTACCAGGTCCTGTGTTTCCTCTGCGATACCTTTCCCACCAGTCCTTTCTTTTTCAATGCAGCCACTGCCACCATAGCTTATGACCACAGCTTCATTCCCTGCCCACCCAAACTATTTGCTCCTGGAGCTAAAGCCCAGATAATCTTGGCTCTGGCACCTCCTACTCCAAAATGTCATTGTTTCTCCACTGCCTGGTGATGGGAAAATTGATGTGATGCTGGTGAAATCATCTTAGTGAGTCACATGTTGTGTTTGACTGAGGCCCCTTGAGCTCTGTACCTTCCCTGTTTTAGGCTGACCCCTCATGTCCTTTGCCTGCTAGCCTCCAGGCATGCTGTTCTCTCCATGGGAATGACCTTTGCTTGTGCCTGTCAAAATCTTATCCTTTAAGGCCAAGTGCCATCCTCTGTACCCCCTCTTCTGGCAGGTTAAAAGTGTTCAGACTCTTCCAGCTTCTCACTGTTGGAAAAAGCTACAGATGAGGAGGGTAGTACAGCTGGAATGAAGCCTGTGTTGGATTGGAGTTGGAGGTAATATGAACTCATGGTTTTAATATACATACAGATACTGAAACACATCTCTTTGTGAGAGCCAGCATTAGAACACAGACATGCATTTCCTAGCCCTGTCTGCTGGGAAGGTCTGGAAGCAGTAACACCACAGTAATGATGAGCACATAGTGGCCAGATCTTGGTTTCTAAATACCATTATGGGAAAAAGTTCTTCATTCTTTACTTGTCAATAGTTTAATACCATTAGGGTGAGACCTATGTTCTTCCTTGGTGAGGGGAAATGGGCTCCATTTTCTAAGCTAAGCTCAGATAGAAGCCACTTCCACCCAAGAGCAAAGGTTTGCTCTTCCTAATAGGAGACATTACATTTCCCCTGGGATAATTCCCTGGAACAGAAAAAATAATAGATGAGCTTGGAATATTCTATGGTATGATAACATAAGGAAGTGAAAAAAGGAAGGGTTTGTCTAACGGACACAAGAACCAACTAAAAGGAGCATCCAATGCTCAAATCCATAACAGATGATAAGCCATGGCTTAAAATATGTGTGAGTCATACTCATGAAAATGAGGAAGGCAGTGCAGCTGGAATCAAGCCTGTATTGGATTGGAGTTGAAGGTAGTATGAACTCATGGTTTTAATATACATACAGATAGATACTGAAACACGTTTGTGTGTGAGAGCCAGCATTAGAATATATACATGCATTTCCTAGCCCTGAATAAATACATACATGGGGGAGGAGGGACAGCTCTCCCTTAGGTAGAATTCCAATTGATGTCAAAGGAATTGTAGAAAAAGAAAGTCACCATTGAACAAACACCACAGTAATCATTTTGCAGGCAAGAATGGAGGAGACAAAAATCTGGGTGAAAGTAAGCTTTGTTTCAAAGTATGCCTCTACAAGATACTTACTAATATAGAAAAGAAGAAATAGTAACTTTATGTTGGAGAAACCTAGTCAATACTACCTTAACCAAATAATCAAAGTATACATCTCAAATAATAAGTCATTGTCTCTTTGTTGTTGTTGTTTTTTTTAAGAGACAGGATCTCTGTTGCTGAGGCTGGAATGGAATGTGGTGGCATGATCACAGCTCACTGCAGCCTCCATCTGCTAGGCTTGAGAGATCCTCCAGCCTCAGCCTCCCAAGTTGCTGGGGCTACAGGCATGCACCACCACACCTTGCTAGTTCGTTTTGTTGTTGTTTTATGATGTTTTTTTTTTTTTTTAAATAGAGATGGGGATCTCACAATGTTGCCCTGGCTATTCTTGAACTCCTGGCCTCAAGTACACCTCCTGCCTCAGCCTCCCAAAGCACTGGAATTACAGGCATGAGCCAAGTCGAGTCATAAGTCATTGTCTTTTTTTTTTTTTTTTTCTTCCTGAGATGGAGTCTCTGCTTCCCAGGCAGTGGTGAGATCTCGCAGACTGCAACCTCTGCCTCCCAGGTTCAAGCAATTCTGCCTCAGCCTCCCAAGTAGCTGGGATTATAGGCACACACCACCACACCTGGCTAATTTTTGTATTTTTAGTAGAAATGGGGTTTCACCATGTTGGCCAGGCTGGTTCTTGAACTCCTGACCTTAAGTGATTTGCCTGACTCAGCCTCCCAAAATGCTGGGATTACAGGCATGAGCCACCACACCCAGTCATCAGTCATAGTCTTTTGATGATGCACTAAGAGGGGCCTGACTTCGCCTGTGGTATTCTTGCATCACTTCAATCTAACCAGGAGCAAGCAGCAGGCAAACCCAAACTAAGGGTCGTCTACAAATGAATAGAGTTGTCTTGTTCAAAAGTGGCAGGTCATGGGACAAGGAAAGACCAAGTGCAATGTGAGATCCTGGGTTAGAAAAAGACCTTACCAGGAAAACCAGCAAAATTCCGATAAGGTCTGCTTGTTAGTCTGTAGTACTGCACTGGTGTTAATTTCCTGCTTTCAATAATTATACTATGGTAATGCCAGAGTTAACAGGAAGGAACACTGAGTAAAGGGTAAACAGGAAGTCTGTACTATTTTTTGCAATTTTTCTCTAAAATTATTTTAAAATAGAAAATTGGGCTGGGTGTGCTGGTACGTACCTGTAATCCTAGCACTTCGGGAGGCTGAGGCAGCAGGATTGCTTGAGCTCAGGATTTTGAGGTTGCAGTAAGCTATGAACACACCACTGCACTCCAGCCTGGGTGATAGAGACCCTGTTTCAAAAATAAAAATAAAAATTTAAAAGTTGGGGTGGGGAAACAGCTCAGGGTCTGGAGCTATGGTCTGCGTTCACAATCTTGCCACCAGAAACTGCTGTGTTTTCCTGAGCTGTCCCCAGACCTCCCATCTCTGTTATGGGGTGGTAATAATAGCACCTTCCTTGTGGGTTTATTCACAGCCTGGAAGCTGAGGCTGGGACATTTTATTCCAGAAAATAAAAATAAATGCTCAAAGAATGATAGGGGCATGTCAAAGGGCCACAGGAGCCAGCTTGAAGAGGTTCCCACTGACCAAATTTGCAACAAATTAAACATCAAAAAATAATGATAGCCATGGGTTATAATCCACTGAATAAAATAAGAAAGCATGAATCCATACTGTTAAATTAGTAAGTTGAAAGTTTGATGAGGAACGAGGTGTTAACATTTTTTTTTTAATGGAGTCTTACTCTTGCCCAGGCTGGAGTGCAGTGGTGCGATCTCAGCTCACTGCAACTCCGCCTCCTGGGTTTAAGCAATTCTCCTGCCTAGCCTCCCAAGTAGCTGGGATTACAGGCACCCGCTACCATGCCCAGCTAATTTTTGTATTTTATTAGAGATGGGGTTTCATCATGTTGACCAGGCTGGTCTTGAACTCCTGACCTCAGATGATCTGCCCAGCTTGGCCTCCCAAAGTGCAGGGATTACAGGCATGAGCCACCTAACACGGCCAGTATTGACATTTCTAAGTATTGCCCCATAAGATACTTCATAATTGAAGAGCAACAAAACAAAAATAAAGAGCAACTTCACAATGGAGGAGTCTGGTAGACGTTAGCCTCATCAAGTGACTGAAGTGAACCTCCTCAGCAGTGGACAAGTCGGCATCATGTGCCTCCCAGGAGGGTGCAGCATCCCTTGCCCACAATGCATAACCCAAATCCAGTGTGAGCCAACTCAAGTTGCTGATATAATTATCAAAATATCAAGGTTGGAAGAGTCAAGGAAAGAAAGGAACTGTTTCAGAAGGAACTACTAAGGGCA